GCTGTCCCTCAGCTCTTCAGCTCAAGACTAGCATTCTACCACTTGAGCCACAGCGCCACTTCCGGCTTTTTTCTTTTTTGCTTATGTGGTGCTGAGGAATCGAACCCAGGGCCTCAGGCATGCAAGGCAAGTGCTCTACCACTGAGCCATCTTCCCAGCCCCTAATGTACTTTAATTTTCAACATCTCTCTCCCCTCAAAAGATTCACTTAGCATTTAAACTGCTAATATTGTCCTGTTTCAAAGATAACTGGACAATTTTCGATCCTTTAAATCTCAAATCAACTGTACATTACCATCTAAACAAATATGGACTTTTCAGTTTTCCACTGAGAGATTTGTATAGTTAAGGAGGCCAAAATATAACAGTCAGTGGCTCATGCCTGTAATCCTAGCTCCTTAGGAGGGTGGGATTTGAGGATCCTAGTTCAAAGCCAGCTCAGGCAGCAAAGTTTAAGACTCTTTATCTCCAATCCACTAACAAAGAGTTAGAAGTGCAGCTGTGGCTCAAGTCTTGAGCAAAAAGAGGTCAAGGACAGTGCCCAGGCCCTGAGTCCAAGCCCAAGAACTAGCACCAAAAGAAAAAAAAAAAAAAGAGTACTATGAAGGAAATAAAGGAAAGAGTATAACCAGTATAACCATGTGTTCTTAAGGGAAAGAACACATGACATTCCTAGTCATGTGAATGAGAAGTCTAGTGATGAATTTTTGTCATTTGAAGATGACTTTCATATTTAGACTTCATTGCACCTCAGCTTCTTATGTGTTCCACTGACTACTTAAGTCTCTCATCTCTTTTCAGATAGCTTACATACATCTCAAAATTGATTTATCTACTTTTTTTTTGGTGGGGGGAACAAACTGGAGTTTGAACTCAGGGTCTAGGTGCTGTCCCTGAGCTGCTTCTGCTTAAGTCTAATACTCTAGCTCTTGAGCCACAGCTCCATTTCCACCTTTTCTGGTAGCTTATTGGAGATAAGAGTCTCCTGAAGGCTGGTGCTGGTGGCTCCCACCTGTAATCCTAGCTATTCAGGAGGCTGAGATCTGATGATAGAGGTTCAAAGCTAGCTTGGGCAAGAAAGTCTGTAAGACTCCTGTCTCCAATTAACCACCAGAAAACCAGAAGTGGCGATGTGGCTTAAGTGGTAGGGTGCTTGCCTTGAGCTGAAGAGCTCAGAGACAGTGCCCAGGCCCAGAGTTCAAGCCCACGACTGACTGACACACACACACACACACACACACACACACACACACACACACACACGTGTCTCATGAACTTTTGGCTTGAGTAGCTAGGATTATAGGTGTGAGCTACCAGTGCTCCACACACACACACACTCACACACACTCACACACACACTCTCACACACACTCACACACACACTCTCACACACTCACACACACTCTCACACACACACACACACTCTCACACACACACTCACACACACACTCTCACACACACACACACGTGTCTCATGAACTTTTGGCTTGAGTAGCTAGGATTATAGGTGTGAGCTACCAGTGCTGGCAGGGCTTTGCACTCTTGCTTGGCTTTTTCTACTCAAGGCTGGCATGTGAGCCATTGCTCCATTCTGGCTTTTTGCTAGTTAATTTGACATAGAGTCTCATGAGTTTTCCAGATAGGGCTGGCTTTGAACCTCAATCCTTAGATCTCAGCCTCTTGAGTAGCTAGGATTACAAGTGTGAGCCTGGCTTCTCATCTAATTAGTTTTTTTTTTTTCTTTTGGTGGTTTTGAAGGCTGAATTCAGGGTTCTATATGTGTGAGGCAAACTGCTGTTGAGTTACATTCCCAGACTCCTCATGTAGCCAGTCTGTTTCTTAGGCCCCAATCCAAGAACTCCTTGATTTCCTTCTTTATTCTCCAAGTTTAATTCACTATCAAGTGCTATCTCCATAAAGATGCCAAACCCACATTTGTTTTTAAAGCCATCTGCCTGTTTTCCAATTATGCTAAGAATAAAATTTGAATTCCTTGCTATGGATTAGCATCAACTCTTATCTGATCTAGACCTTTTCTGTAACCTCTTAATTGTCCAATTGTCCTTCCCTTCAGTTTTCAAGGGCAATTATTTATCACTTAGTTCTTAGCTCAACCTTATTTTTTGTTTTTATTTGTCATTTGTGGGGCTTGAACTCTGGGCCGGGGCGCGGTCCCTCAGCACTACCGTTGAAGGCTAGCACTCTACCACTTAAGCCACAGCACCACTCTTAGCTCAACCTTTTCTAATAGGCATCCTTAACTGAGGCAGTCAACCTTTATCCCTGACAATTGCCAGTCTGTTTTATTCCTCCTGCCCCACCCCCAAGACAGAATCTTAAAAAAAAAAAAAAAATCCTGAGTACTGGGCTTACAGGTCTCACACCTGGCTAATCTGTCCTTCTTAGTCTTTTGTTTTGTTTTTGGCTGGTCCTAGGGCTTGAACTCTGGGCCTGGGTACTGTCCCTAGCCTCATTTTGCTCAAGGCTAGCACTCTACCATTTGAACCACAGCACTACTTCCAGCTTTCTCTGTGATAATTGGAGATAAGAGTCTAATGGACTTTGCTGTCTGGGCTGGCTTCAAACTTCAACCCTCAGATCTCAGCCTCCTGAGTAGCTAGGATTAGAGGTGTGAGCCATCAGCATCCTGCTTTTCTTACCCTTTTACTGGTACCTTAAATTCATCTCTATTTATTGCATATTTTCCTCCATTAAGATGAATTACTCCAGAGAGGGATTTAGCCAGTCTTTGTTTTGTTTTCTTCTTGGTGATGGGGCTTGAACTCAAAGTCAGGGCACTGTGTCTAGGCTTTTGTGCTCAAAGATAGTGCTCTACCACTTTGGGGTACAGCTCCACTTCTGGTTTTCTGGTGGTTGATTGGATGTAAGAGTCTCATGAACTTTCCCGCCTGGGCTTTGAACCACGATCCTCAGATCTCAGCTTCCGGAGTAGCTAGGATTACAGGCATGAGCCATCAGTACCTAGCTTAGTCTTATTTACTGTAAAATTCTAAATATGTGACACATAGTAGGCTCCTGATAGTCACTGAATAAAGATACAAAAATGTTATTTAATTAGTTATGAACATATTGAGTAGTGCATAATAGTTTAAAGCAGCTTCCACTAATTTTATTGTGCCTGATCTACTGTCACCAGCAGTTCTTGTCTGTTCTAAAATTATTCTCCCACCTACACTCTACCTTATTTACCTCTCACTGTTCTCAGTATCATAGGAGCAACATCTCTTTGAAAATCTCATTTCTAAGCAGCACATTTGCATATTAATTCAAGTATTTTTCTTTAACATTTAACAGCCAATTTTCTGCAGGGCTTCATGCATGCTAGGCAAGCACTCTACCACTAAGCCATATTCCTAGCCCCAAACTCCAAATATGGTCTTTTTAATTTAATGTTTTTTTATTTTTATTTTTTTTTGGTTCCAGTCCTGGGGCTTGAACTCAGGGCCTAATGATGTCCCTGAGTTTTCTTGCTCAAGGCTCTACCACTTGAGTCACAGCACTACTTGCCAGCTTTTTTAGTGTTTAATTGGAGAGAAGAGTCTCACAGATGCTTCTGCCAGGGCTAGCTTTGAACTTAAAGCCTTGGATCTATATTCATGCAAGATTCAGAGGGTCCTACTTCTTGTCCCTATTAATCTTTATTTTATAAATTCCTTTCCCTTCTCCTCTAAAGCTATTTCTTTTGAAATATAAAACAAATTAATGAAAAAACAAAAATTACTGGTCAAAGTCAGGCATGGTGGTACATACCTGTAATCCCAGCACTCAGGAGGCTGAGGGAGGAGAAAGCAGATATACCCTTGTGTGACTTAATGGCTTCAAGCATATCTGAATAATTTGTAAGATCAGGTACCTACCTCATCCAGAACTTTTCCTTCTTTAATAGACTGAGTCACCCCTAAAGAGATCATGAAAAAGACAGATCACATCGAAGCAGAAGAACATACCCCCCTTCATGAATGTTTTCTCTCTCTTAAGCCACCCCACTTTTTAATTGGTTGTGGGGCTTGAACTCAGGTTCTGGATGCTGTCCCTGAGCCTCTTTGTGCTCAAGGCTAGTACTTTACCACTTGAGCCACAGAGCCACTTCTGGTTGAGTAGTCAATTGGAGATAAGAATCTCATGAGGCCCTGGGTTCGATTCCTCATAAGCAGATTAAAAAAAAAAGCCAGAAGTGGTGCTGTGGCTCAAGTGGTAGAGCGCTAGCCTTGAGCTGAAGAGCTGAGAGACAGTGCCCAGGCCCAGAGATCAGGCTCCACGACCGGACCAAAAAAAAAAGAATCTCATGGGGCCTGTTTGGCTCTGGCTGGCTTTGAACCAGATCCTCAGATCTCAGCCTCCTGAGTAGTTAGGATTACAGGTGTGAGCCATAGGCTCCGGTCAAGCCACCACTCTTTATTAAGGTTTGTGGAAGAAATTTCCTCCTGGAGACCCAGTTAATGCTTAACTTAAACATAATAAAAGAGGCTAGCTAATGCACATAGATTTCTGCCTATTAAATAAATTCCAAGTTCATATGCTAACATTTCTAAGAGCAGATTAAGTCTTATTAGTTATAAAAGAAATCCATTTTCCCAGCATCACCAGCTTATCTGAACAAAGCCATATGCATTAAAGACAGAGCTAGTTTTGTGTTACCATTAAAGACCTTTTGGTAATTCAGGCTCAGCATCAGCAAAAACCTTAGGTGTTAAAATGTTAGGCGCAAAAATGCAATTCTGAGGTGTTAAATGGAGGAGGGGAGAAGCTGTATTATACTTACAGAAATAGCTAACTACCCATTTTCTTCCTGCAATTCCCAGAAAATATTTCAGTGTCCGTTCACAAACCAACTCAGCATCTGTGGAAAGAAAAACATCTTTAGCATATTAGAAGAAGAAAATAACATCAGGAAGTGCTGCCCCCAAAAGCTTACGGACCCCAAATCCTGCTCTCAAGATCAATCTGGATTGATGATGTCAGACACCACTACAGATAAAATCTGAAGCTGGAAGCACCATGAATTATAAGCAGCAGGCTTGGAGTTTTGGAGGCCTGGAAGAGGCAAAGACCAGAGGAAATGACTGTTCTATCTTACCGATGCCATGGCAGCTAAAGAGCTCCAACCCTGTGTTCAATGAAGTGTTCACATCAGTGATTCACTGGATAAAAAAAAGGCTCATTTTATGAGATGGTGATATGTAAAAGGAGAAGAAAAGTCTGGAGGTGTGGCTCTAGTGGTAGACTGCTAGCCTAGCAAACACAAAAGTGCAGTGCCAGGTCTCAAGTTCAAACCCCAGTAATACCATCACCAAGACCAAAACACAACCAGTGTTGAAATCCTAAATATGATAAAATTTTACCTCCCAAACCCAAAACATCTACCTGGGGAATTACTGGGAATTACCTGGGGAATCCTAACTTCCCAGTAATTCCCCAGAGGGACAGGATAATATGGTCTTTTTTTTTTTTTTGGGTCTGGTCATGGGGCCTGAACTCTGGGCCTGGGCGCTGTCCCTCAGCTCTTCAGCTCAAGGCTAGTGCTCTACCACTTGAGCCACAGCACCACTTTGGCTTTTTTCTTTTTGGCTTATGTGGTGCTGAGGAATCAAACCCAGGGCCTCAGGCATGCAAGGCAAGCGCTCTACCACTGAGCCGTCTTCCCAGCCCCTGGTCTTTTTTTTTTTTCCAGTCCTGGGGCTTGAACTCAGGGGGTAGGCACTGTCCCTGAGCTTCTTTTGCTAAAGGCTAGCACTCTACCACTTGAGCCACCATGCCACTTCTGACTTTATCTGTTTATGTGGTACTGAGAAACTGAACCCAGGGCTTCATGCATGCTAGGCAAGCACTCTACCACTAAGCCATATTCCTAGCCCCAAACTCCAAATATGGTCTTTTTAATTTAATGCTTTTTTGTTGTTGTTGTTTTTGGTTCCAGTCCTGGGGCTTGAACTCAGGGCCTAAGTGCTGTCCCTGAGCTTTCTTGCTCAAGTCTCTACCACTTGAGTCACAGTACTACTTGCCAGCTTTTTTAGTGTTTAATTGGAGAGAAGAGTCTCACAGATGCTCCTGCCAGGGCTAGCTTTGAACTTAAAGCCTCGGATCTCAGCCTCTTGAGAAGTTAGATTTATAGGCATGAGCTACTGGTGCTTGGAAAAATATGGTCTTTTTAGATGCATTCTCTTTTCTACATAAGTATTTCAGAAAGCAGGAGGTGAAGAATCACTTCTGTTTATTTCCTAGTGTTTCAAAGACTGTTTGAAGAAATAAGCAAACTTAGAAAAGACCATTTAATTTTAAAGAGGAGAAATGTATTTAAATCCTAACACAGCAGGCCATCTGCATGGAATAGAAGCAGCCTTTCTCCCTCACAGAATTCCTCATAATTTTTTGAAGCTTTTTGTTTAATTGCTATAAAAGCTGGTTTTACTTGGAAAGTAAGGAATGGTGTATTGCCTTTGAATTTAAAGACTGAACTACTTTGGATTTAATTTGGACTTTTAAAGCTTTCTTTTCACCTTTCATCAGCTTTGATCCAAACTTACAGCTTAAAAGATATTAAAGCTCAATGACATTTGTCTCTAAAGTATTAATTCATTTGTACTTTCTTGTTCTAGCACCTGATTCCAATGAGCTAAATTACCCTTTGACCCTGTGATAAATTTTTTTTTTGTGTGAGCCAGAACCCAGGGCCTGGATGCTGTCCTTTAGTTTTTTTACTTAAGGCTGGTGCTCTAATATTTGAGCACAGTTCCACCATCACTTTTTCTCTGGTTAATTTGAAATAAGAGTCTTAGACTTCCCTGCCTGCCTGGGTTGGCTTCACATTGGGATTCTCAAATCTCAGCCTCCTGAGTAGGCAGGATTATAGATAAGAGCTACTGGCACGCAGCTTCTTGCTTGACTTCTTCACTCCTGGCTGGTACTCTACCACTTCAGTCATTCCTCTATTTGTTTTTTGTTTTTTACTGACAAAATAGAAGAGTCTCTTGGAAAGACCTGCACTAGTGGTGCATACATGTAATACTAACCACTCAGAAGGTTGAGATTTGAGGATCATGATTAAAATTTAGCCAAGTCATGGGCTGGGATGTAGCTCAGTGGCAAAGCGCTTGCCTAGCAAATACAACGTCCTGGGTTCGATCCCCAGTACCAAAAGAGAAAAGACCAAAAAAAAAAAAAAAAAGTTAGCCAAGTCAGCAAAGTCTATGAGACCACCAAAAAGTCAAAGTAGAGGTGTGGCTCAACTGACAGAGCTTGAGCTGAAAAAGCCAGGTGAGGGCTCAAGGCCCCGAGTTCAAGCTCCAGTACCAGCACACATATAAAAGTATCTATTGAATTTGTCTTCTCTAAACCCCTGACTTAAAACACAGGGTGTTGAACTCTTGCTAATCTTTTTTTTTTTTTTTTGCTCATAGCTGGTGCTCATTTGAGCTATGCTTCTAGTCCCACTTTTTTTTTCTGGTCAACTGGATATGGAATCTCAAACTATCCTGCTCAGCTTGGCTTTGAACCTTGATCCTCAGATTTCAGCAACCTGAATATTACAGGTATGAGCCACTGATGTCTAGCTTACTCTTCAAATCTTAATTAAAAAGCACAAGGGT